ACTTCATAGTTTAACATTCAATGTGACTTGACTGTCTGAATACGACGAAACAGCAGATCCAATCAGTCTTTAGGATTCCAGCCATAGACATAACAACCCATTCACACAATACACACACATTCCAGTCATTTCCAAATCATGGGCCATTTATTACACACTCTAATGACTAGCCTCCTCACAGACCGCACTTTGTCTACCCTGTTCGCAAACCTCACAAAATGCTGAAAAACATATGCTGCTAGAGCTGATGTCATTCAAAATTGCAAATATTGAGAATTTTCCTCATGATTTCTGCAAACAAAGTTGGCAAGTGTTTTTCAGCCAGTGTCTTTTAGAGTTCAAGCACCATCTCATTAACTTTTCTCAGTGGTTCAGTCTTTTCCTCCTCTATTACTTACAGCATATGTTGGCGTGAGAGCGCATGGGCGGCAGCTGTGTGTTCATCTTGGCAGTGTGCCTGGGAATAATGATGTTACAGTACACCTTGGTTTTCTCATGAGAGCCGTCAACCCCCATTACATACATACAATCCCATACAATGAAATAGCTTTGTGAATGCAAGACACTACAACAATCATTCAAATATCTACTTTCATAAAGTAAAAATGTATGCATTAAAGCAGGATACAAATATTGATCAATCCCAATCTTCATTCAAACAATCCCGATACTGATTCTAAAAATTGGGTATTACTAGAGTATTACTACATTACTATTACTAAATCCACAGCCCCATGGCAAAATAAGTCATATTTTAGCAGAGTTTGAGTAAATGTGATAATATAAACTGGTTACACAGCGCAACCAGTCAAATTTACAAACTACTCCTATAAATTAGTTCTATTTAGTGAATCAAAACAGCCTACAGTGCAAACAGTATAATCCCATTTATAAACAAATGGCTGGTATGAGCTGGCCTTTTTAATCATTCAAAATGACTTTTTACTTTAGTGTCTAATTGACTGTCAATTTTACTTCAGCTGGTATCCACAGAGCAGTTTTGGTTGTGTTGATTATATCTGTAAGAAATTATATTTAACAGATATAATCCTTGATTATAGAAAAACATGGTGTAGGATTATGATAAAAGATATGATTATATCTGTTAAACAGTAATTGAATTACATTTGGGTTCTGCTGTTAGTTTTTCAAATTAATATTTTTTATGTACCAAGTCAGAAGGTTCATCGTATAATGTACAGCATTAATATAGAGAGAATTTCTCACATATGCAAGCAAACGGATATTATAGCTGAAATATGCCCAAATGAATCAAAATGAATCAGAATTGAATTAAGAGCTTGTACCCACCCTATAGTATTAATCTACAGTGCCGTGAAAAGGATTTTGCCCCCTTCCTGTTTTTTGTTTGTTTTTGCATGTTTGTCACACTTAAAAGATTAAATAATATTACTTAATATTTAATTTAATAAGATTTAATATTACACAAAGATAGCCCAAGTAAATACAAAATGCAGTTTTGAAATAATGATTTCATTTATTAAGGAAAAAAAGCTGTCCAAACCTGCCTGGCCCTACGTGAAAAAGTAATTGCCCCTAAATCTAATAACTGGTTGTGCCACCCTTGGCAGCAACAACTGCAATCAAGCGTTTGCGATAACTGGCAATGAGTCTTTCACATCGCCGTGGATGAATTTTGGCCCACTCTTCTTTGCAGAATTGTTTTAATTCAGCCACATTGGAGAGTTTTCAAGCATGAATGGAGTGTTTAAGGTCATGCCACAGCATCTTAGTCAGATTTAAGTCCGGACTTTGACTTGGCCACTCCAAAACCTTAATTTTGTTTTTCTTGACTCATTCAGAGGTGGACTTGCTGGTGTGTTTGGGATCATTGTCCTGCTGCATAACCCAAGTGCACTTGAACATGAGGTCACAAACTGATGGCCGGACATTCTCCTTCAGGATTTTCTGATATTCAGACATGGTTCCATCAATTGGCAAGTCATCAAAGCAGCCTCAGACCATCACACTACCACCACCATGTTTGACTGTTGGTATGATGTTCTTTTTATGAAATGCTGTGTTGGATTTACGCCAGATGTAACGGGACACACACCTTCTTTTATGACCTCCTGGATGAGTCGTCGTTGCGGTCTTGTAGTAATTTTGGCCGGCCACTCCTGGGCAGGTTCACCACCACAGGTTCACAAGTTTTCTCCATTTGTGGATAATGGCTCTGAGCGCGGTTCGCTGGAGTCACAAAGCCTTAGAAATGGCTTTATAACCCTTTCCAGACTGATACATGTCAACTATTTTGTTACTCATCTGTTCTTGAATTTCTTTAGATCGTGGCATGATGTGTTGCTCTTTAAGCATGCTTCACTTTATCAGACAGGTTCTTTATTGGTGATTTATTGATTCAATAGGTCTGGCAGTAATCAGGCCTTGGTGTGGCTAGTGAAATTTAACGCCGCTTGCTAAAATAATGTGGTTAATCACAGTTCTTTCATGATTTAACAGAAGGGGGCAATCATTTTTCACGTAGGGCCAGGTAGGTTTGGACAGCTTTTTTTCCCTTTAATAAATTAAATAATCATTTAAAAACTGCATTTTGTATTTACTTGC